CATCCTTGTTAATCATCCGGAAGAAAAGTTAAACAGCACATTAATTACACTGAGCTATATTAAATTAGGAGGTGAAGCAAGGGCTGGGGAGGACAGAGAAATAACACAAAGGGTTAGGAGCAATTAGAAACTGGTAACACACATTCCTGTGAACTTCAGTACCAGAACTTGGAGAATCAGTTGAAGGGAATTAAAAACACAAGAGCAAGAAAAGTGATAAAAGGGCCAGAAGGATTCATTTGCAGAGGATGCATTAATTAAACTTTGCATAACTTGACTAAGTCATGATTTGGAGGTGAAGAATAAAATGAGTCGGTGCATATTTAAATACTACTAAGCCAAGGACAACTGGCATGTGAGCAGTGTTTAAAGCTATGCACATTCACAGCTCCCCTACATTAACTAAGGAATAAAAGGAATTTGATAAAGTCAGGTTTATACCAAACATGAGAATAATGTTCATGCTGTTGAAGCCCACCAGACAGTGTCAGAGCCTGGATATCCCCATGATCCAACACTAAAGTTTGTTGTAATGAACAAATCTGCTGTGGCAGCAAGACACTGTGAAGGTTACAGAGCCTATGAACAGCACTATCTCAGAATAAAGATATGGATAAAAGCGTGGTGAGCACCCTGGAGATAGTCAGTCACCCATTTATGTTTTCTGACACAGAATTCATGGAATAGCCAGCATATCTAAGGCATCACAGCATAGGCAAGTAACAAAAACTGGAGAAGATTTAAACAAACATGTCACAAGAAGAGTAGAAAGTGGAAGGAAAAATATAAATTTCTATTGAAGGGGCAGATTTGAGCACAGCATGCTTCATGGGGGATGCTGTGGTGCCTCACACTAATGCAAACCAACAATTCCATCTCTGCATTGGTGTTGATGCAGAATTAGAAATACGTATTTGTATGCCATGGGGTCACACGGGCAGCACAGCTCAGACTTGTCCTACCCTGGCAGCACAGCAGTGCTCTGGAGAAGCAACAATCTTGCTGACTGCATAAAAGATGAGGCTGGGCAGCCACGAGATCTCATCAAGCTTTGACCTTCACTCGGGCTGGCTGCATTGTCTTCTGTTCCATTTAGCAGTACTCTTAAAGAGCAAAGAGGCAGACAGCACTTCTGTAGATCCAATTATACCCTCAGCCAGAAACAAACCAAGGAAGGCAATCTGCAAGTATCCTACATCAGGGTTGCTATAAAAATAATTTTATTTACTTCAAGGATTGTGCTCCAGCTTTCCTGTCTCATTCACACTTGTTCCTTTGCCTCTTTCTCATCTTTCTTTCCCCATTAGCCAGCAGACATGGATGAATCATATCATTTGTAATAACAACTCTGAGCCAAAACTGGAGAGCGCAGCGAGAGTCTGAAGGGTGACTTTAGAGATCCCTCTCCATCCTCCCGCTGCAGGAGGTCTGAGGATGTGGACAGTCCCATATTTACCCAATTCCAACTGCAGAGCAATGAGGGAACGTGTCAGGCTGGGGCTCCACGGTGCCACAGCAGGGGACGGGATGCACGGAGGCCGAGGAGCTGCCAGGACATGGTGTGTGTGGGAAGGGAAAAGCTGGTTTCTCGCCCACCTATGCGTCACAGTGCCTACTTGGAGCCAGTTCCCTCTGCCTCCCTATTTGTTCAGTAAAGTAATATCCATTATTAAAAATGTGACTTTTTCTATGTATGTATCTATAAACAGCACACATCTGTCTATATGTGAGTAGACACATTTCTTCATCTCCGTTTTGCTACTTTCTGTGCCCTTCCCTTCTCTCTCAATATTTCAGCCTGACATGACTGGAAATCATCAAACTTCAATGTACACAGCTGAACTTAGATGGAGACTAATGTTTCAAGTGCAGACAAAAAAAATTGGGCAATGGGGAAGAAAAAGAAAGGGCAAGCACCAAGAGCTCTTCTTTCTGTATGCATTATGCAGTGTCAGCATTTGTAGAATCACTCTTTACACCCCTTGGTGGGAAATAACCAGAACAAATCATGGAATCACAGAATGGATTCTTAGGAAGGACCTCAAAGATCATCTGATTCCAACCCCCTGCCATGAGCAGGGACACCTTCCACTACCCCAGGTTGCTCAGAGCCCCATCCAGCCTGGCCTTGAACACTGCCAGGGATGGGGCAGCCACAGATTCTGTGGGAAACCCGTGCCAGGGCCTCACCTCCCTCACAAACACGTAGGACATGCTGGTCCATGTAGTGGCTCATCCTAGGAAAGAGTGTAACTACTGAAATTCTGCTTTTGACACACTAGTAAATTTAAATATGCATATTTTCCTCCAGTGTCCATGCAAGAAGTAAAAAGGCAAATTTCCCAAACTTTACGTATCAACCCTTAAAAATAAATTCCTCATTGACCACCACCACTGAAGAGACTACTTAAAAAATGCATTGTCAAGGAAATGTTTACTTAAAGGCAATTATGCTGTTATGAATCAAAATTCCAGATGCTAAAGCTATGCCAATTAGCAGTATTAAAAAAACAGATGCCTTGTTCTGAGTGAGTACCACTGCCTGTGCTTGAAAGGAAAAAACCTGCACAGAACATGCTGGAAGCTACTGTCCTATTGAGAAGACAGCTTTTAAATAGCAGTTCCAAGAGACAAACTTAAAAAGCTGTAAAAGCAACTTATTATGAAAGTCTCAGCATAATTTTCCATCAGGATGGAAGAAGGTTAAGCTGTCCCCTGCCTTAAGCTGCTTTCTGTTAGAAATCCAAGCAGAGAGTAGACGAGGTATGGCACAGAGTCAGGGCCACGGGAAGAATCACTGAGACAGCACTATGCTGCAGCTGCCCATAGCCCTCCAACCTGCACTGTAGGTGACAAAGTCTGGAAAAACAAAAAAGCAAGTCCTCTTACTGTTAATCTCCTTTATATGCAGAATAAATCCCTGTCAACTAGGGACAACCTCCCAGACACAAATTTGAAGCCATCTTTTGCATCCTTCACTTGCAGTTCTTCTCAGATCAGTGATCCAAGACTGAGGCGCCCAAGTCACCTTTCCTCCTTCTGAGAGCTGGGAAATTCTTATTACCTATCAGCCAAAGGCAGGAACATGATTCCTCCCCATTTTCTCAGCCACTTATCAGATGTGTGCCAATCTACCAAGTTAACAGCGTGTTTAGTTTCAGCAGTTTTGGCTTGAGCTCATGTGTATTGTTAAGAAAGCTGACTTCTAATTGCAGCTTGCTCTTTTAAAGGGCTCACAAGCTGCCATGCTGGAATTACAGGGTATAAATGGGTTGCTCAGAACAAAACCTCCAAAGCCAGAAGCCTTGTCCCCATGAGGAGGACGGGAGGGTGCATTGTGCTCCTGGGTGTACAGGTGGTCAGGCAGACAAAGCAGCAGAATCCAGCTCCACGTGGCACAAATAGCTTCTAGCTCTCTGCTGGTTTATGCCCAAGAAAAGCAGCCAGGTACTGCTTCCTGAGCCTATTTGCCAGAGTCCTAAAAGCCCAACACACCACCAGGGGAAATGAGAAACATTCTGCAAGGTTCTTGTTTTGAAAGGAAGCAGGAGCTAAGAAGTATCAGAGAACTATTAGAGAAGAATTAGAGAAGCATTAAAACATTACCTAAGAGATAGGATCATCATTGAAAGGAATGGTACAAAAATGAGGAAAAAAAGAGGCATATAAAATAAACAATACAGATAGTCATCAAACACTTCTGATACATAGCTTGCAGTTGTTAGACAAAGGCTACTACAAAGCACGTACACATCTGAAGGCTTGGGTTATTACTTATAGATGAAGGCAAAGAAAACAGAATTTCTTATAAATGAAGACATGGATAAGACTTTTGAAGGCTCTCAGAGTTCAGAAACCTTCCTGGAACTCTGTGGATCATGGACTCAGTATCAAATTCTCAGAACTTGACATAACAGAATATTCTTGTATCAACTTCACATACAACTAGACCAAGGCCCTTTTTTCCCAAGTACCATCCAGAAAACAGATCTCTGAAGTGACAGAGGATCGTTCATAGAACGCAGAATAGCTCAGGTGGGAAAGCACCTCTTGAGATTGTCTAGTCCCTTCCAATCTGTGTTGTTCTGTGACTCTGAAAAGGGCCCAAGTAAGGATACCCACTGTACTGCTTCCTCAGTCCCTTTCTGCATTCCACTATATCATGAATTCACAGGTTGCTTTAAACACTGTGTATTCTATACACTCTGACCAACCTTAATCCTTGAATAGTTTAAATAATTTTCATTAAATCTTTTGGCTGTTTTTAAATTTTTTAAAATTATATGATGCAAGACTTATTCTGAGGTATTACTTGCCAAAAGTACAGAAGGGCATGAAAATAGTCACAATATCCAAGTTCGTTATTTTAAATCATTGTTGAAAATTACCTCATTTTAACCTGATGATTTGTCCTCAGTCTAATAATAGAAATGCCTTTGTGCTCCTTGACACACTGACCAAAGACTGCCCAAGCAAAATCCAGGCTGTAGCTGAACAACTCTCATGCAGACTCACAGTCAACCAAACTCAAGACAAAACCCAAAGAGCTCAAGAGGAATTAACACACCTGCAGAAAATTCATCAGCTTCTGAATTAACTATAAAACCATTTCAATTTTCTATGTACTTCACTGGCAAGAGGGAAAAATAACGTGCTATCACCAACCTAAAGGAACTTGTTTCCTTGTCAAGATTGAATATGGAATGCAATCCCTGGAGGCGACTTCAAAAGTATTTATATAGGTCGCTGCCTACATTAACACTGATGTTTCTCTATCTACAACTTTACATCAAGGCAATGAAAAGGAGCAGGTAGGGGATACACCAGGAATCTCACCAATAATATATGACACTTGATAGTAAAACCTCTTGGTCAACTGGAAATATTAACCAAATATTCCTCTGCCCCCAGGCTCCCCCAGCCTGGCTGTACACTGTGGTATAAGAATTCCTCCTCCCATCCAATGAGACAATGCCCCTTTGCAGGGAAGGCACACTTACTGGTACTCTGAAAGGAGAAGTGTTCGGAACATCCATGGAGTTGGTTTTCTCAGAGGTGCTGGTCCCCGAGATGCTCCGTCTGCGAGGAGATCTCTCTGCTGGGACCTCTGAGGGAGAGAAGAAGAAGGTGGTGAATGGGTGCCCGGGGGTGGGGAATGGTCAGGCTTTGTGCTCTTTAGGAGAGAAGCCTCGGGAAAGTTTTGAGTGCATTACTAAACTGCTGAATTAACCCACCTCTATTTACCTGTATCTTACTCACTCACTAACCTACAAGGGCATTTTCACTGGCAGATTCAAGGTTGTGAATCTGATTTGACTGTGGGAGATTAAAATAAAAAGTGCTGGTAAAGATCAATACCTGGACATACTTAATATTCTGTTACTGTTTGAGAGACAGTATTCAGAGAACTTAAATCTATTTCAGTTTAGATTTAATTTTTCTTTACGTAAGCAATGCAGTAATTAAGAAATAACTACAATCAAGATGCAGGGAAGCTCAGTTTTAGTCCCAGCTGAACATTATTTGGCAAAGGTCAAAGTTCGGTCATGTATGATCCCACTACTTGCTCAAAGCATGCAGCCCACAGAAGACTTATAAGTGCCTGGGTAATATGACAGATATATCTCTGCAGATAAAAAAAAAAAAATAGGTCAACTTCTCCTTGTTCTGGCAGTATGACCTTACTAAGACACGACTTTGGCATCTTAAATCCATGCAGACCGATCAGATGAGCACGAATATTCATAAAAGCTGCACTGATGTCTTTGACTAATACAAATACTGGAATAATAGCATAATAAAGTACACACAGCATTAAAAATCTCTCAACAAACAGACATAATAAGCATTTTTATATAGAGCTAGATATGCATATGTATGCATAGAGATACCTTTATCACAAGTGCTGCCCATCTCCAGCTCAATTGCCAGACTTTAAGGAATCCAGCTCCACAAAACACCCCCCGACACGGGGAGGGAAAAAATCACTTCCCAGCAGAAAGTCCATTGTTATCTTCTGAACCTTAAGGAACAGGAGCAAGCCGTGACTCCAGGCAGGGACATTTTGACTCCTGCCGTTCTCCTTTCAAGATGCAGCTGAAACTTCCATTCCTGGCCGGCCCCGGGGATCCGTGACTTCCACTTGAGGGACCGCGGGGTGTCTCCGTGCGCCCTCCCTGCCTCCCTCCCGGCCGGGGCTGGCGGGGAGCGAGCGAGCGGAGCAGCAGCACACAGGACTGCAGCTCCTCAATCAATCGCTCCGGCTGCACATCCTCATTAGTTACTTTCAGGCTATTAACAGACGCCCGAGTGCCGGCTTCCCTCCGCTACCGAAAATCTCCCCGTGCATCCTGATTCACAGCGGCAAAAAACAAGGTTTATGGGGAGAGACAGCCAGCTGGAGCCACGAGAGCGGCGTTTTCCTCCAAAGAGCCGGAGGAAAAAAAAAGAGAGAAGCCTTCTTCAGGGATAGCATTACTTGTGATGCCTTTGCATGCCGGATTTTGATTTCAGCGGAGTTATAATACGTCTCTCCCATGGATGCTTGGAGACTGACAAAATGGAGCATAGAGGAGGAGAGGCGAAGGAATCCGGACCCTGCAGTATTAGTGTCTCACTCGGTAGATATTTATCTTTTAACAAAAGCAAACTGCTGACACTGAGCCCCTCAGTCTGCTTGGGGAAAGGACTGCTGAGAGGGAGAGCAGCCTGGTGAACTGGGCAGAGTCCAAGTAAGGATGTGTGGTGCCCCGCCGAGGAACGGGCAGGGCACAGGCAGCAGCGGGGGCGATGCCCGAGCCCTGCCCGCACCGAGCGAGCCCATCCCGGCCCGCCGGAGCCAGCGGGAGCCGCAGGGAGAGGCACCCCCGTGGGGAGAGCCCTCCTCCTCCTCCGGAGCAGCACCAGCTCTCCTACAGCATCACCTGCTCCAGAGCTGCAGGGTAAGTCCCACCAGGGCACCTTTAGAGAACAAAGCACTTGGAGCAGGGCCAGTGCCAGCCCAAGCTTTTTGAGCCCGTCAGTCCCACCACCTCAGGAGCCTTTGCAGTGCTGCCAGTTTTACCTGACGGTGCACTTCTGTATCACCAGCTGCCTCCCTGGCCTAGATGAAGGGAAACTTTATTTACTGCAGCACCTGTAAGTACTGCTCTGCCCAGAGCTGTGCGAGGTAGGATATAAAGAATTGTCTCTGCCATTCCCTGCCATTCCCATGTCCATGTAACAATGGCAAACGGGATTGATGTATTCCATTGGAACAGGGCTAGAGTGAGCACCTTTGATCTTACACTGACTAGTAAGGAGTAACGTAATAGGTTTGGCTTCCTCCACTTCTCACGCGCAGGAAATCACATCAAAGCTGCCCCGGTAATTTAAAACACTCTGTTAACTTTGCTGAGTCATAAATGGAAACACGAGCACAAATTCCTCACTATTTTCCACAACACGTTCTGCAGCAGGGGCACTTTGGGAAAGAGCTTAACTTTAAACTGAACGGAGTTGAAAAGCTACCACAAGGAATGTACCTGGCTCCCCTTGCCTTCTGTCTCCTCCCCAACATCCCCCCAGCAGCAATCCAACTTTTCTGCAAATAAAATGTTGGTGTTTCATCAGTAAAATGAGTTTTTTTTTTCTCACACCATCACAGAAGTGTACTGAATGGGGAAGGGAAAATTAAATATTCACTAGGTGCTTGCAGTGAACTAAAAATAAAAACTACCTTTTCCTCTCTTCTCCTTCTAAAAAACAAGAACAAATAGAAATGCTTAGTCCCTAGGAAAAAGAAGACCCAGATACAGCAAAATTGTCGGGATTTATTAACTGGAAATCAAAAGCTGAAGCAACTTGCTGTGACGCCTGTAGAACAGTATTTTTGCTGAGTCTTGAGAAAGAAATCTATACTGTCACCACCAGGCAAAAAATTAGACAGTTCCCTCCCCTACTCCACTAGTAATGCTTGAGGCTACTCTTGCATAATCTTCACCTGCTGCAAAAATCAATGCACCTCTCATCAGCTTAGCATTAAGTTACAAGTGCTTTCTGCATTGCTCACTCTCAGGAACCAAGGCTACAGATAGATCACATTGTTTATCCATCAAAACAATATGAAAACCTTTTCAGCCCATCTGTTCTGGGAAGAAAAGGGGGGAAAAAAGGCAAAAGGGAAGAAAATCCACCTGACAGATCCACCCCATTTCAACCTTCAACAAAAAACTGCAGAATCTTACAATGGTTTGGGATTGAATGGGCCTTAAAGATCATCCAGGCAGGGACACTTTCCACTATACCCATCAAACAAATGAGTTGTAAACATCCTAATGGGTCCCTTTTATCATCTGATATCTTGGTGATATGCAGTAATACTTATGTAAATAAGTATTTATCCAAAATAAGTATTTACACACTACATAGCAACAGTAATTTCCAAATTACCTGAGCCAATTACTCCACAGTGGCAGATGCCTCTGAGGAGGGAACTGCCCAAGGATACAATGCAGGCAGGTCTCTTCTCCCATCCTGTTGAGCCACTCTACCCTCAGCAACACCAAAGCTTGTTCTGTAGGCCAGGAGGAAGGTCTGTGTAAGCCAGGTGCCACTTACTACATGGAGTAGTGGTGAGGGTTGCCCTCCTTTGAAGGGAACCCTCTCTACCACAGTGGTGTAGCCTCAGTGCCCTCTGGTCACCACAGGGCTCTGGGGGTTGCCCTAAATTTCCTATTGCTGGGTGCTGTGGCCACTTGAAACACTTGCTGTGGTGGAAATTTCTGTTTTCACTGTGGAGAGCTTTTTCTCCAGGTGGGAGAAGCAGACACTAAACAAACCTCCCAGCTTTGTGGGATAGCCACACCAGGTAGAAATTATTTGCAGATATAAAAGGAAGAACAAGAAGAGGAAGAAGTGTCTCAACAGCATTTTTCTGATGGGTATTACCTAGTGAAATAGGAAGCTTCATATCAAAATTAATAAAAATGTTAATGTTTTATCTTGCAATAATCATTCTCTCTCATTTTGCTCACTTGGGGAGAATTCAACTTGGGCCCAATTCACAGATTGTCATAAAAATTTCATTAAATGCCTGTACAAGAAACCTAAGGTAAAACCAAACTTCAACCCCCCCAATCTGTTTTAAGTCCTGAAGTCCAAGTTTGTGTTCTGACTAAAACACATTATGCAAATCCTGAAAGGTATAACTTAAAGGAAAAAATGGAAATTTGCAGAGATAGCTTTTCCACATTTATCAAGGCAACCAGACGGAGAAAAAAATCACAAGAAGATACATCAGAGTGAATGCAACCAAGTTTCAGGACACTGAAGTGCACAAAAGCTGCCAAGCCTGGAAAGGAAAATACAAAGGGAGCCCTGCAAAGCTCACTGGCTGTAGAACTCCAGCATCAAACAACTGCTAAATATAAACTATGATCAAAAGCTCTCCCAGTCCATTAGCAGGGGTTTAAAAAGAAGCTACTGTGCTTTACTAGGGATTGAGTTGATCAGGTAAGTCTTGGAATATGATCCAGGTAACTATAAAAGATCTTTAATTTACAGACAGGCAGTTATGCTGGTGTTAGACACTTACATTGTACTGGCATATAAAATAGGTGTAATTGAATTAGTGCCCAGTACAGAGGGTTCATAGAAAGCAACCTAAATGACACACTAAGTCACTTAAAAGATTCTTAAGTCATTGATTCCTAAACGACTTTAGGACTTTTCAGACTTTACAGTCTTAAAGACATAGACCTAACATGTGAAGCAGATGCATACTAGAGGAGGCTGGAAGAAGGGGCACAGATATCACAGGAGACAATAACTTTGGGGTTACAAGTATAAACCCCCACAATTTATTTTCCCTGAAAGTTTGAAGGAAACTGTACATGGCCTTGAGTGAGTACAACATCAGCTGTTCTTTGACTGATGCATGCACTTCGAAGCAGAAGAACAAATCCTCCAGTTCTGCAAACCAAATCCGAAATGAAGCAGATACACGTCCCTAAACTGCTCAACACATCCCCTGCCTGGCTGTACAAAATTTGGGATAGTTGCTTCTTTTTGACCCCCCCATGCAGCAACCTCTAAAACCTCCCTTTTCATGGTTGACTCCACACACAG